AGACCTTAAAAGAGCAGTGCGTGACAGACAGCCCAGAAATCTCAAAGAACTGGAAGACTTTTGTAAGGAAGAATGGGCAAAGATACCTCAAACAAGAATTGAAAGACTCTTGGCAGGCTACAAGAAGCGTTTACAAGCTGTGATACTTGCCAAAGGGGGCAGTACAAGATATTAACTCTGCAGGGTGCCCAAAATTTTGCAGACGCCATTTTTTTGTTTTCTGTTATTTTGAAAGTGTAAATGATGGAAATAAAATCTAACTTTTGTTGACATATTATAAGAATGTCTAATCTGTAATTTGATGCCTTTTGGAGATTTTTCCATCTTTCCTTGGCTTCTTTATGCACATCAATACAAATTTTTAGCTGGGGTGCCCAAACTTTCGATCCCCACTGTATATGATTTTGCTCAGCCGCGGCAGGCAAGCGGGTTAATGAAAGCTGCAGATGAAAAAATACTTAAAGTTACATTAGCATGTTAAAGCAAGTGCAGGGTTCCTCATCCTGGGTTACTGGAACTCGGGGTTTCCTCCAAAGGTTGCTAGGGGTTCCTTGATTGATGAAGAATTTCTAACTTACAGTGACCACTGATATCAATTACACTGTTCAACAGGTAAAAAGTTTTGGGCATAAAATTAGCTAATCTTACATAATTTTGGGGTGCTGAAAACAAAAATGACCCTAAAAAATGTTGATTGGCTCTAGTTTCCATGATATATTCACCCATCTAATGACACATAAGCCATTCAAAATTATGATGCAACTTCAGCTGCATATTGCGCAATTGATACTGGTGACCAATAGAAAATTGCATGTATACTGAGATGATGCAATATTAGCCTTTAATTGCATCACTTCACTGCATAAAAGCTGCAGTATCTGTAGCTGATTGGAGTTGGACAGCGTCTTTACATTTCGTTTTATGCTTATATAGGCTACTCAGTAATGCCTCGAACTTGTGTGAATAAAGCAGATAATTTCTGCTATATCTGCAGTGAAATAACTTTTATCTCACAAAAAAGGAGGATAACAGGAATGATTAAGAAAGCCTACAACTTGTATTTTGGCTGCAAGATAGGAGACCAGGACAAGAGCTGGGCACCACATATATGCTGCAATTCTTGTGGGACGGCACTGGAGCAATGGTTGAATGGAAAAAAGGCATCTATGCCTTTCGCTGTGCCAATGATTTGGAGAGAGCCAACAGATCATGTTAGTAATTGTTACTTTTGTATGGTGCCTCCAATTGTAAAAGGGCTAAATAAGAAGAAAAAGTTATCTGTGCACTATCCAAATATTCCATCGGCAATACGTCCAGTTCCTCATGGAGAGGGGCTACCAATTCCTAAAGCACCAGAATCCTTCGTGGTTGAGTCAAGTGAGGAAGAACCTGAAGCGTGTAGTCACGTGCAGTTGTAAGAGATAGCCCTTTCCTCGAATACAAGAGAAAAGCCAAGAGAAGCAAAACCGACACAAACTGAAGACAAAACTAGTGAGAATCCTAAGTATTAAAATGATTCAACTTAGCTTATGGCTTGGTAATCCTATGCAATATATTATGCCATTTAGGCTTTGTTATGTAGTCAATATCACTTGCTTTATATTTGTGGAAAGACATCTATCTATATAATTATTGTGCATTATGTAGTCATTACGCCTATAGTAGAAACCTTTCCTTTTACAGAAAAACTAGAGCCAATTGACAAATGTCATTGTTATATTTGAACTCAGAATGTGAAATTCATTAAGAAATGGATCCTTTTGTTTCCAAAACTGGCAAAAAATAAAAATTTGTTGAACAGTGTTATCTTTGTATGTGCATGTGTATGGAGGGCAGTTTCACACTGGTTAACAAAGAGTGTCATCCTCCCATTAAAGTAGAGATATAGGTAAAACTTTTTTTTTTCATTTGAATAGAGCAAGGGAGGGTTATAACCCCTGTCAGATTTTTTTTCACCGTGTCCATTGCCGAGATTTCCCTTCACTTCCTGTCCAATAGCCAAAACAGGAAGTGAGAGGAAATCCCTATAAATTAAGGGAATTCTTTAGGGACCCCCAGGTCACCAGAATAGTGTCCCCATTGGAAGATTTCCCCTCTATTGCTCTTCTAGGGACAACCCAAAATGTGGGATTTTCTTTAGTTTTAGCTTTCAATGATAATGGTAAATAAGACAAATAGAGAGGGGGAATCTCCTTAACCACTTCAAGTCCGGACACTTTTACCCCCTTCCTGTCCAGGCCAATTTTCAGCTTTCAGTGCTATCATGCTTTGAATGACAATTGCGCGGTCATGCAACACTGTACCCATATGAATTTTTTAGCATTTTTTTGAGACAGATAAAACTTTGTTTTGGTGGTAGTTATTTTTTTTTGCTATATAAATGAAAAAGTTGAAAATGTTGAAAAAAGTGTTTTTCTTATAAAATTTTGCAAATAAATAATCTTTCTTCATAAATATTAAAATATAAAAATAACCCAAATTAGTTTATAACCAAAAATTATAATTTTTCTAAATTTGTTTTTTACATTTTTATTTTATGTTTTCATATTATTTATGGGGTTTTTTTGTTTGGGGGGGGGGTTAACATACTGTCACCCTAGCAGTATAGTGTCACAATAGTGACACTGTACTACTGGTGGGGGGTGATGATTTTTTTTACACTGATTGCTTTTACACCCATAAAGGATGTAAAAGCAATCATTTCTCTTTCTCTCTGGCTGCATTCTTGCAGCCATTGAAAAATACTGTGTGAGCTGTGATTGCTCACAGCTTGTCACATGGTACAAGGCAGTTGTGAATAGCCTTGTACCATGCGACCTCTGTGATCATTCACAGATTTCACATGTAGTAAGAAATGATGTCACAAGTGACATCTTGCTTACTTTACTACTATTCATGTGATCACTGATTGGCCAATCAGTGATCACATGATCGGGACCTCACACAGAGGTCCCGTACAGCGATCAGTGTTCCGCTGTGTCCTCCGGACATAGTGGGCACCGGATTGCGGTGCTGCGCACTTCCAGGGAGCGCGCACAAGCAGAGAAGCGGGGAGGACGTTTATAAACTGCACTGCTCCCGTCCGGTTGTTTATATACATGGGCCGGACAGGAAGTGGTTAATGGGAGCACAGACAGAAATAAAAACTGACAGGTATTCTAATCCCTTTCCACTCTATCCAAAACTGAAAAAAAGTTTTGCCTTTAATATAAGGGGTCCTACTGCCATTTGCCACTACACCAACCAATATTAGAAGGCGCTTTTCCAGCGATTACCAGTGGAAAGGGCACTACAATTTTCACCACTGGTGTTTATTTTATGGTCATTATTATTTATTATTTATTTGTCTTAGCAGGGAAGTGTTATAAAAAAAAACTATCTGCTCTGGATGTTAAATATGCTAGATACACTACATTTGTTATTCTTTTATGTAAAATTATATTTACAATTTACTGACCACTCCAATGTGCTGTGAGCTAGATATGTAATAATTTGGTAGGGGTTACTTGATTATTTTAAGGGTTCCTTTTTATTAAAATGGTTGAGAAATCCTGCTTTGGTGATTGGGTTCAGTTCTACTTGAACATCTCATTACATTGTTTGCTTTCAAAATTATAGGACTTGATAGATTAGCAAAGTATTCTGGGACTCCTTTCTGGATTAATAAAGTAGCTCTCACACAGGTCAAGGCACTTTCTATGAAAACACAAGGACACGGACTTGTGACTTTCATTCTGTTTTTCTTGAAATAAAATATTACATTGTTGCATAACTATATCTATTTTGATCCTTGAAAATGCCTATAGCAAAGGAATATATTTCTTTTTTAAGAGCCAGGAAACTACCACTTTGCATTAAAGGACTTTGGGCAATGTCAGATTGGCAGTTCTGTACACAGCAGTTTTCTTCATTTAAGGGCATGACGTGCAAACCCCATGCTGAGCAGAAAATTGCTGAAAATCAGTTTAGAGCTGAACTTGAAGTACATCGTTGTCAGCAGCAGACTGCATTTCCCACTGTTTACATCAGCATAGAGGGCTTAGTACAGCTAGTCAATGCAAAATCCCTTTTAGAAGCATTATATTTACAACTGTGCAGCTTTCCCCACATGCGATATCCGTATGGATGTGGGAATCAGATAAAAAAAAAAAAAAACACAATTTTTGCAAGAGAACTTCCAACGTTGCTGTTTTTAATGCAGGAGGAAATATGGCTGCTTCATGTCTTTGTGCTTTTCCAGACACGTCAGTTGTATAGTTTTATTTTTAATTTTATAAAATGTTGCTATTTAAAGCCAATTTATTATGTTCTATGGAAAAATAGAAGCCAGACTGATACAATGGATCCCTGGACCTCACAGCAGCATTTGACCTGGACCTTCTGGAGACTCTAAATGGCGGGTGGGTCCATGAGGTATACAGTATGTACTCCATTCTCATTTTCTATCCCTACACCTTTATCCCCCCTCCCATTCTTCTTTTTTTATTTCTCTTCCTTTCATTTAAGTCTCACTATTACACCCCTCTGACACACTGTCGCTCTTCCCCTACCAATGGTCTTAGACCCTCTCGGGACATCTCAAGTTAACATCTCACATCAGTGATCCCACTCCCTTATGTACACTTTTAGGATTATTTGGTTCCATCTGAATTGTCATATGGTACCCATCTTACACAAATTTATGAATTCCATCATATGTATATTGTAATTGACCTTTCTATGTACAAACTGTGCAATTTTGTGATGTTGGTTTTAAAAATAACAACATATTGAACAAGAATATAACCAATGGGGCATCAAGAATGTCATGTCCTTGTATCATAATTCTCTGACCCAGAAGAGACAAGTGTTGATCCTGTGACCTTGGTCCAAGTCAGTGAGTTAGAATGTAGTGCAGCAAGAAAAAGGAGGACAGCTGTAGCTCCTGTACCATTGCCGTCTCTTTCACACCTATACATTTTGTTGCAATGCTCTGCCTGTTAACACTTATGCACACTGTATCCTTTTAATTTTAAAAGCAGCAAAAAAAAAAAAGCTACAAAAAAGACATGTTTTTGCATGGGTATTATGGCATTCTGCTAGGAGGAATAATAATTTATTCTGGGCATTAGAATGTATAAATGCATGAATGAGAATAAAGTGAATGCATGAATGAGCCTAGAATCAACGCACGTTTATGTGCGTTTGCATGTTTTTCAGCTCAAGCTCTCCTCTTCAGATTAGGCAAGTGATGTTTTTTTTCTGCCTCAAATGCCCCTGCCTCTAAACGCCTGTAAATGTCTATGTGTGCATGGATGCATAGGTTAGAAGTAGGGGAAAAAAAGTCAAATGCCTTTAAAAATGGCATTTTTGAGTTCAAGTGTTCATGAAGCCTAAAGTTTTCTGTTGTGGTAAAATGTATCTAAACATTACATTTAAAATGAATTAAAAATCGACTTACCAAGCAGTTGTTTTGATACCTCTATTCATTTTGTGTTTTTCTTTTTATTCATCCTAGATCTTTTTTTTTTCATTTTGACAATGTTTTCATTTTCAATCGCTCTCACTACCTTCATGTGCAGGGGGTTGCATTGGGGACTAGATGTGCCCCATCGTATGCCAACTTGTACCTAGGGGGTGGGAATGGGACTTGTTTTGTAATGAGGAGATGCAGGATACCCTGAATGAAATCATCACTTGGCATAGATTCATCAATGATATCCTGCTCATGTGGGCAGGGACATTGGATGAACTAAATACCTTTATCACGAAGCTTAAACAGAAAGTATAATTTAAAATTTACTATGACTTGCCATTAGCAAGTCATTCACTTTTTGGATGTACAGATTTTTGTAAATCCTGATGGAAGCCTTGGGTCTTTTCTTTACAGAAAATCCTCATCGGACAACAGTATTTTACATGCTTCTAGCATGCATCAGTCCTCTTTGGTATCAAGTATTCCTTATTGTCAGTACCTACGCATTAGAAGAAATTGTACTAAATAAGATTTTGAAGTGGAGGCTAAGACATTACAAAAACGTTTGTTAAAACGGGGATATACCAAAACATCTCTTAAAAAAGCTTTCAATCGAGCAAAGAGTCAGGACAGAAATACTCTGACTCATAGTAAAAAAAGTAAGATCAACTCACATAATATCAGAACGATTACTCTCTATTCAAGCTAACACCAACAAGTACATTGAATCTTGGATAGATATTGGTACCTGTTATTAGCAGATGATGTGGTTTCTAAATATGTCAACACATATCCTGAAATTACATTTAGATGATCTAGATCTTTGAGAAACCAATTGGTTCGTAGTCACTATGTAGTTCAAGAGGCCAGTGGAAGTGGTTTTCTTGGCACAGCCCCTTGTGGGAAATGTGATTAATGTAGATATGTTATACACTCTCATAAGATAAGTTTACCCAATCGGTGTATACGTAGTCCAAAATTTGTTGCGAATTGCCAAACTAAAGGTATCGTTTATCCTTTGATCTGTGACTGTGGTGCCTTTTATATAGCAAAACTATATAGGCAAAACTAAAATAGCATTTTTTCAACATATTGGAGATCATGTAAGGGTTATTTCCAAGAAAAAGTAGTAAACACAAATTAGCCACCATGTCAGTTTAAATAATGCCTTTGATCTTTCAAAAAAAAAAAACATTTTTCGCCTTGGATCATGTGCCTCCACATGATAGAATGGGGGCAGGGGTGGACTGACCATTTGGAAACTCGGGCACTGCCCAAGGGCCCGGGGTCAGTAGGGGGCCCCATGAGATGCCCCTGGTACCCTTTTCATAGGCTTTTTTGAGTTTGGGCAAGGACACAGGGGCCCCATGATCCCCTATTGCCAGGGGGCCCCATGAGTTGTCAGTCCGCCCCTGAATGGGGGATATTGATAAGATTTTGTTACAAAAAATAAACTAGGTGCATTTTCGACCAAGCTGCCACCAAATATCCTGGCATGAACGAAGCGGTGAGCGTCAAATCTTTTTTGTAAAAATCTCTGCGAGTTTGGCCATCATAAATATATTGTATTTAATCAGCCTCTTTTCTTGAGCAAAAATGTATTCATGTAAGGACCTACTGGAGTGGCTTCATAATAATTTTTGTTTGGATATATGACAGGCAAATAATAGTTTTTTGTTCTTTATCTTTAGAATGAATGCATTTTTTTTTAACACTGCCCATTGTGAGGTTTCCTATCCCCTTTGGCAGGTAGGTAGACATATGGACGCCCAGGGCGTCATGGTGGTGGTCGGCTGACTAGTTTGGCTGGTCTCCCTAATGGTGCCCGATTTATGTTGTCTGTATATACATTGTAAGTCCATTGCATTCCCCACTGGATGTACTTCTGGGATATACACTGTGTACAACTTACATTGTGTGCAGTTGGGTGGTATTCCATTTTTCACTACCAGAGGTTTTCCTGTTAGCCCTCGGCAACTTGTTATGCCTATTAGGCTATTTACCATCTAGAGGATTGACCCGCGCATGCGAGTGACGTCATCCGCAATGGTGATGTCGTGCGTGGGTGATGTCATTATGCATCTGTGGGACACCAGTGGCGTCAGATGCCCTCTGGGTGGGAAGGAAATAAAAGGGCCACTGAGGGCAGCCATTGTGCACATGGCTTGCCGGCAGACATTTTAAAAGACTTCCAGAAGTTTGGTATGCAAAGATCAGTTTCTAAGACTTATTGGATTTTTTTTTGATCATTGAACTAATGACTTTGGTACTATTGTTTTCTTTATAAGTTTGCATTTATTCGCAGATGTTGGTAGGATATCTCTATGAGTCACTGTTCAGTGACTGACTCTTGGTCACTGTTTAACCTCTTGCCGTCCGCCTGCTGTTTATAAACGGCAGGACGGTGGCACTCCCGGGGTAAGTTGGCATTCATAAACGGCACCCGCCATTTCTAGCTGTGCGTGCTCCCTGGGAGCGCGCAGCACCGCGATCCGATGCCCGCTGTGTCCTCCGGACACAGTGAAACACCGATCGTCGGACGGGACCTCTGAACGAGGTCCCGATCATGTGATCACTGATTGGCCAATCAGTGATTACATGCAACGTAGTAAGCAAGATGTCACTTGTGACATCATTGCTTACTACGTGTGAAATCTGTGAATGATCACAGAGGTCACATGGTACAAGGCTATTCACAACAGCCTTGTACCATGTGACAAGCTGTGACCAATCACAGCTCACTCAGTAGTTCTCAATGGCTGCAAGAATGCAGACAGAGAGAAAGAGAACTGATTGCTTTTACATCCTATATGGGTGTAAAAGCAATCACTGTAAAAAAAAAAAAAAATCTTCATCACCCCCACAAGTAGTACAGTGTCACCATGGTGACACTGTACTGCTAGGGTGACAGTATGTTAAAAAAAAAAAACCATAAATAATATAAAAAAAAATAAAAATGTAAACAATTTTTTAAAAATGATAATTTTTGGTTATAAACTAATTTGGCTTATTTTTTTTTTTTACTAAAAAGATAACAGAATACATTTTGGCCAAGATTTATGATGAAAGATTATTTATTTGCAAAATTGTATAAGAAAAACACTTTTTTTCAAAATTTTTGGACATTTTCATTTACATAGCAAAAAAAATAAAAATCCCAGCGGTGAATAAATACCACCAAAATAAAGCTTTATCTGTCTCAAAAAAATGGTAAAAAATTCATATGGGTACAGTGTTGCATGACAGCGCAATTGTCATTCAAAGTGTGATAGCGCTGAAAGCTGAAAATTGCCCTGGACAGGAAGGGGGTAAAAGTGTCTGGACAGGAAGTGGTTAATGGCTTATCCTGGGTAGAACCTACTTATATACTGGGTAAGTGTACATAATCCTTTTTCATGTATGCAGTATATTAATCATTTGAATTATAATACCTTACAATGTGTTATATTTATATATAGTACCTTTATATATACCTGTTTGGAAGTCTCTCAGGACCCACATGTCTCACCTATGGCTTACTAGAACTGCCTTTTCGGGGGGAGAGGAACTTATTGAACATACTATGAATCCTTTGATAGGTAATCATTATAGTTACAATTTTTGGGTTTGGCCTTGTGCATGTATTTTTGTTTTTTCAGCCCTCCATTATGTCCATTTGATAATTGTATTGTATTGAGTGTTATAATTGCATAGTAGGATGCCTTGTTTGCAGACATATAACATCTTTTTGATTGCTATACTATGTAATACTGACCTCATGTTCCTAGAATGTATTGTTTTCTTTCTATTTCATAGTGATTGAATCTGTGTAGTACTTAAATTACCTCCTGAGGAATCCAAGACAATGGCGAAACATGTAGGGATCAAGTAATTACATTTATATATAGAAAATGGATTCACCAGTCTGGCACTCCATGACATGGATGCAAGTTTTGTATTGATTTAATGATTATATGGTTACATTTTTTTTTGTTGTTAATAAATATGGAGTTTTATGCAACTGGATTTGTTTTCTTGATTTGGCACCTTTAAAATCCCATCAAACACAATTTTTATGGTTACCCTTTTATTGCCAGTTACAGCCTCCACTGAGACTTCCACTTCCTGCTTTCAGGTGACAACATTGCCCCTGCAGCTCCCTAAGCAGAAGCATCATTGTCACCCTCGGTGCACACATTCCTGTTCTATGGTACAAGCGGATATATGGATATTCGACTTCCTAGCTTGCAGCTTATAGTGCATTCCTCCCTTCTCAGCCTTGCCCACACAGTAGCTCGTAGAGGTTGTGCCTGCATGCATGGGATAAAGGCAGTGCCAGAGAGCATATGACATGTAATGCTAGACATGTTGGTTGCACAAACAGAAAGCCCTTTGTGAGCATTATTTTATACAAGAGATTTTAGTTATTGATTTAGTTAATTTGGAGGAGTGGGCTGTCATACACAGCAAGGGAAAGAAAACAAGAACTGCACCTTTTTTTTTTTTTTTTAAATCAAACAAGGTTTCCAGCACTCCATATTTACTTGGAATAAACCTGTCTTTATTAGGAATGTGACATAAAGTCAGAACAGCTGTGACACATTTAATACAACACATCCTATTACTAGCAGCACCATTGAAAGGTGGAAGCAATTTAGGTGCAGGCGAGCTGTAAGTTTTTATGAATACATCTTTTTAAAGAAGCACACTAAAAATGTGAAGATTGTGCATTGTGGGACTGTCAGCACCTACTGAACAATCAAAAAAGATAAAAATGACACCAAGGAACCAACCATAGTCACTACACAATCACGGGGTGTCAACATAATCACCCATGTGGAATGAAGCCGACTCACCCAAAATAATACAAATAAATGGTGCGATCCGCATAACACACGAATATGGCCTAAACAACAAGGGCAAAAGGAAGCCCAAAAGGAGTTTACAAGGCGGACCAAACATACCCTACTGTACACATGTGTCAAGGTGGCATTTTAAATATATAGAACCACAATGAACCAGAGTTTGGCCTTATTGTTTTGCCACACATTACTGCAAAGCGTTCCCTCTGTATGGTGAGAAGCTGGATCTAGAGATCTCTCTCTACCAGCCAGGATCTGCCAAAGGGCCCATTCTCACTTGCGTACCAACACAAATGAACAGGTTAACCATTGAATAAATAGCTCTAGTTCACATCTGTGCCATACGTTGACGTGTATTTTTTGATGTGCACAGAAAGGTGGAGCCCCCTGACACAATATACAGTTTAGAATGCGGACAGCTTCTTGAAAGGTCTTTCTTGTGGTCATCCCAACTCCCAGCTTGCAACTTATTGACCTGATATAAGGGACATAAAATGGCATTGGCGGGCTTATGTGGGTAAAAAAAAATCTATGCTACATTTCCTGCATCTTACATAAATCACCCTGGGGAAACCGGAGCTGATTTCCTCCATTACACAGCAGCTTGTTACTCAAATCTATTGTGCTGTCAATTTTGCCGCTATAATAACGGCAGTACATTGTGCAACAGCTGCACCTGTGTTTACCTCCATATATAGCTTTAGACATTTACTGGAATCCGTGTGCAGTAACTCTGCATCTCCCAACAGACCAGCATTGTTTTAATTAGGTATTTGCCGTTCGTGGGCTAGGAGGACTGCAGGGGCCTCTTTATGTGATGTTGCTGTGTTTGTGAGGTGATAAATGTATTGACAGCTGCATCAGAGATTATGCAAATCAACTAAATGGAGTAAATGAGTTAATTGCATATTCGTAGGCGTGATGTACACTTCTAATAAATCCTCTGCACAGGAACCAATCCCTATGCACCCGCTATCACACACTGAGTATTATTGTGATTCTGTCATTATTTCAGGCCTGTCACTGTGTAAAGATTTATCACCTGCATGAAATATGGAATAACACTGACATATTCTTAATTATTTTCTGTTACAACTGCTTGACTGTGATAAACATTGTGTGTATACCAAACATTAAATAAAACGTTTTACTTTTTTACTAAACTCTGTCAACAGAAAATAAAAAACACACCCTGCAGAAGGGAACTATTAATGCTTAGCTGTCCTGCTGTGGGTGCTCCAGATACTCACTCTCTTGCAGAACTACAGCCACCGGCTGAATCTTCAGATACTGTGATATACCAACTGCTAAACCTAGTATAGACACCAGGTCAAAAGTAGTTGCTCAAGTGGCTTAAATTAAAAAAATATACATTAACAAATTTTATTGATTCAAATTACATACACATTCAAAAATCAGCCTGCAAAAATAGCAAACCCAATGCTCTTTAATAATCAGGTAAAATTGACAACATTGTTAAAGACACATAGACAGAAATCCAAAACATCACTATGACATCACAAGGGCGCTAATGGTAATCACGCTTCTACCAAATGCAATTTATCAGGTACCTAATTGCACCCCATGTGAATTGCCACCCTAGAATTAATGCACTTAAGCACTGGAAGAGAGCATAGATCCAAGGCATCGGTGGCAGGACAGGTAATCATTAATACTGTCCTTATACAGGGTATTTTTTTCTGCCAACAGAGTCTATTTAATCATAGGCCCATTCATTCAAAGGCTAATAAAGGTGAATACAAGGTTAAAACACACACTTTATATTGTTACTCGTTTACCTGAAGAAAAAAAAAGATTTATAAACTACTCCATCAGTCCACACACCATTGCTGTATTATATAGCTACATAACAGATACTGATAACCCTTTTAGAGACAGCAGTTCAGCAAACACCCATATTCTACCTGTCTGCTTCTTGCACTTCTAATAAACAGAGCTGGAGTATCCACAAGGCCATCTAGGAGGGAGCCTAAGGCCAGGTGGCTGTCCAGGAGGCTTAGATACGACCTTCATTCTCATTCAGTAAACTGGGGGTAGCAAATTGGTAAAAGCTGTCCATCTGCTCACACTTCACAAGAGATGATGCGCTTATCAGCTGCTGGTGTCAGAAGGGGCCATGCCAGTAAAGACAATGCAAATGATGTGGCTCATCTGTGCCTACTGCAATCCTTGTCAAGGTCAATCAAAAGGAATATGGAAGAGGGCAACAGTGCTACCTTGCCTAGGTCCCCTTTCTGTCTAAACCTCTCTCTGCTAATGAACATCACTACAATGGTGTTTCCCATCTATAATTTTCTTCCTCTGGTAAGCCCCCCCAACAACCCCAGAAGTGTATACAACAGGCAGCCCTGCTGCTGCAAGCCTAATTTCAGGTTTCACATAGTATGCTGTAAGCTCAATATAAAAAAAAATACTTGAAATAATGAAGGGCTCCTTTACATCACATTACATCGAGTTTATATAGCGCCAAAGGGTTTGCTCAGCGCTGTACAATAGAGGGGGGGACAATACAAGAAACAGAACAGCAACTACAACGGTACACAAGGGGTTAGAGGGCCCTACTCTTTCGAGCTTACAATCTAGGAGGGAGGGGGTAGTGGTACAGGAGGAAGTGGCTGTGGGGGATGGAGTGGTAGGAGGAATGAAGGAGAGCGGCAGTTAGGTGAGGGTGGGGTAGGCTTCCCTGAAGAGGTGGGTTTTCAGGGAGCGCCTGAAGGTGAGGAGGGAAGGTGACAGTCTGATGGATTGGGGCAGTGAGTTCCAG